CCCACACCTGGACAGAATATGCAAAATCTTTTTGAATGTGTGTTTCTGTGTGGATGTGCTCTGTTTTAAGCAGTAATGTACAAACATGTAATTAATATTATTTACTTAACACAGTGAATCATCTGTAAAAGTCATATTCTGTTTTGTTTTCTTGTTTCAGTCTCTAGTACAGATGCCATGGTCAAAAGGGTGGACATCTTGTAGCCAATATGCCATTTCCACTGCGTCTTAGGGGGCTACACAGTCCACAAGCTTTTCAGTTTCTCTAACAGTGGCTGATGACATCACCACTTTCCCTGTAGCCTCATACTTCATCTAGCCCATGCCTCATCCTGTGCCTCTCACTATACCTTTTTTCACCTCAGAGGTTGCCAACAAGCTCTTCAAAGCTGAGACCAGCACTCCAGCACTGTCCCCTGCTCCTGTGTCCGCCCTAACTCCTGACCTTTGTCTGTCCTGTTTGGAAGTCGTTGGTGTAGTGTAGTGGGTAACCCCTCTACCTGCCATGCTGTAGACTGGGGGTTTGATCACCAGTCAAGGCCCTACACTATACTAATAAAAGTCCTTGGGCGTCTCTCTGTGTCTAACACTGTGTTTGCCTGCCTGTGTAAAATGATCAAACAGTCAGTTGCTCTGGATAAGAGCGTCTGCCAAATGCCATTAATGTAAATGTTTCCTCCTCTTGTGTCTGTCTTCCTCTGCACTGTGTTCGCTCTGTGTCTGTCCTGTCTCACGCTCATATGTTTGTCCTGTCTATTGCTCCTGTATCCATACCATCTTCTGCCCCTGTGTCTGTCCTGTCTCCTGCCCTGGACTGTTTAGTACAACTGAAATTCAAACAGTTCAACCCTCAATATTATAATAATATTATAATTTAGTGGTTTAACTATGTTGATGAAGATCTGCTGCTTTTCCCTAATATCTTTCAGCTGCTTCGTTCAGACTGAAGTTGTCTGAAGACAAGACATACAAAATACATATTAAAATATAGGTCAAAATTTTTTATTTTCAAAATTAAATTTCTTAGAGTAAGTAAACTGATCTGAAATCAATTTATGCCTTTTACATAAAGCTAAATAGAACTACATGAATGGATGAGACCTAATCTTAAATCAGCATTCTTACTCTAAGATTCTTGATTAATATGAGTCCTGGAAATAAAGAACAAAGTGTCTGTTAACATGACAGCATACAACATCTAACATGACATCTTTACGGCATGGTTATGTCAATATTATTAGCAGGGTTCAAATATAGTGTTCCCAAATGTTCAATAAAAATATTTTCACTAAAATTGTTCACACTAGGTGAAAAAACATTTAAACATTTAAAGCATTTTTGGAACACCTATAACAAACTACAAATGTCACTGACTAAATTTAGTTTAGTATAGAAGCCGAGGCTTTTAGAATAGGCTATTGCGTCTCTCTGTAGAGCTACTGAGCATTTCTGTCAGTTATATTGCCTTTTGTGTTTCCTGACGGTGTTTTTGGAATTCTAGACTTTGTCTTTCTCTGTATTTTTGGCCTTTTTGGATTTGACCACCACCTGACTATCCACTATGAGTACTGTCAAACCCTTTTCAAGTAAAGCCTCATTTCTTGTTTTTTTGTGCTGCGAGCATCTGGCTGGTTCTGTTCCATTACACACCTTGTGAGTAGCACATGAAATTCATGCACTAAAAATCAAATACCTACTGAAATGACTCCTCCTCCAGCTAACTAAGTGTAGACCTGATGTGTTCATGTTGGGAAGGTCTAGTTAGGCTGGGTAGTGTGTGTGTATGTGTGTGTGTGTATTTGAGCTAGTTGTGTGTGTGTGTGAGTGTGTGTGTGGTAGTGCTGGTAAGGGGTGTGTGTGTATGTTCTTTGTGTGGTGTGCATGGTAGAAATGGTTAGGTGTGTATGTGAGGCTATGTGTGCTATTGTTGGTAAGGTGTGTATGTGTGAGAGAATGTGTGTGGTAGAGCTAGTTTTGTGTATGTGAAGGTGTGTGGTAGAGCTAGTTAGGCATGTGTGAGGGTGTGTGATCAGCTCCTCATGAGCTCTGTTCTGGACGCTGTCCAGGGTCCTGCAGGAGCTTGAACTCTGTGCTGCTGAATTTGAGCAACTGCAGCTGATCTGAGGGCTTCAAGCACCCAGTAGGAGTTTCACATCATCAATTTACATTCATTCTGATTCAACTCATGTAGATAAATGTAAGTATGTCTTTAAGTCTTTACACATCTTATGTACTTAGATCATCTTATTATAACTCATTATAACTCAATATGACATTCCAGATCAGTGTAATGTTCTCTCAACATTTAGTGAGAGTCAATCTTAAGTGTTTTAGTACAAAGTGTGTCTTTCACTTCATGGATTCTGCTGGTGGCTGTGAGTCAGTCTGTCTCTCACAGTGCTGGAGTTTTTAGTGGAGAGAACATGATGCATGCAGAGAGTAAACAAATCCATATTTTATTAAAACACCACACTGTTTTTAAGCAAATCTGTCTTATGTGAATTACTTAATATTCTTCATAAACACAACCCGCTTAGCCATGAAAATATTTCAAATTGACATGCGACGAATATTAAACAATTTCATTTATTTCGGTCTTACAGCTATGCCTGACATTTTGATGAAAAATTATGTCCAAGTTTCATACATATGTTATTTAGTAGCTCAGCCAGTTCTACAGGTGCTGTGTGGCGCTCTAGTGTTTGGGGTTTGAGAACCATTTTGTGGTTTGCATGTGCAGTAATTTACAGAGCTGTCTGAAGGTTGAACACGTTCTGAAGATATCAGATTTTACATGTCAGACAGAGTAGAGACTTGATACTAACTTCTGGTAATAAGACTGAACTACCTCACACTGATGAATCAGTTGACACCCACACACAACACAAAGCTGTTTAAATAGGCTGCACTATGACATGCTCTCAACTCCTCTGATGTTACATTCAACCACCTTGGAGCGAAATATTCAGTGATTGACAGGTGTTGGAATAATGACATCTAGAATTTAAATCTGGTTGGATGTGCACCTCTAATTTAGATTCTTACCTGAAAAAGGTCAGCTACAAAACATGCAGCCACGAAACATGTTCTTTCAAGGCTGAACTCAACAGTGGTGACTTTTTGTTAATATTTGTGTGTTTGGCTTATAGCAACTTTAACCAGGTCAGATTTTCAAACTAGATGAGTCTTTATGCCCAGATTGTTCAGTGCTGCAGCTCCAGAACTCCAGAATGGAAATGTGAAGCATAAACCAACACATGGAGCATTAATGGTTAGAAATATTTACAGCATAACTTGAAATATTGCAAGATTAATAGACTCAGTACAGTGCAGACACTGTGAGAGCCAGAGTGAACAGGATACTGTTGGGGTCATTAATGACAGTGGAGCCAGTGATGATGGAAGCAGAGACAGCAGAGTGGAGTGTAGCAGTGATGACAGCAGCAGATCCAGCTTCCTCAGCAGCAGCAGAGACATCAGCTACAGCAGCAGTGCTGAGCTCCTAGAACTGAATGCCCTGGTGAGATGGGTTAGTTGATCTACTGGGCCATTCAGCGTTATGTTCTCATTATGTGAACAGTGCTGATCTTTGCTCTCACTTGGTAAAGCTGATATTACTGAGAAAGTGTCAGACTTAGTGAATTATCTACTCTTCCTGATGGGGATCAACCACTATTACATCAACACTGTGCTGAAGAATGGAAACTGTAATCATTTATATTTTTTTTTATTGAAGCTATTGTTTAGTGTGTAGTGGGAATGCTATTAGCAGGTATGCTATTACTTAAATACCACTATACAGTTTTAAACAATTGAACAGTGTATTGTTTTAATCGTGTCCACAATACCTGATAATAAATAACGTATCTATCAAAGGGAGATCACAATTGTATGTTTAATTCATTAACCTATCTTTCCAGCTGTAAAGAAGCAATTTTAGCATCTGTCTAAAGTCGTCTGTCCTTTATGAAAAGGCAAAGCCAATATTCACCAAACACACCTGTCAGGTACTGCTTTGTGTTAACTTTGGGAAAGTGACTATAGCACAGCTTTAACCAATGAATATACAAATCTTTTCCTCTACAGTGAGTTTGCGCCACTGTTGTCACATGATCTAAACATGACATCACCCATGTGTGGACCGCTGCCTTATTATGATGAAATGGTTCAATGAAGCAGTTTGAGCCTTAGTCTCAAATGTGTTTATGTTATGAAAGAAACTTAAAGAGAACAACAAATCACTCTTTATACTGAGCATTTTGTTTTTGTGGTTATAAACATCACTCATTGCTAATTTAAAATGTGGTGTACAAATTATTTTGTAATAAAAATCCATAGTGCCAAATAGTCCTCGTGTGATTTATTTAAAGAATAGTTTATATTTAAAGCAGATATAAAAGAAAAAGGAAAAAACAAAAAAGGAAAAAAGTATTAAAATTCTGAAACCTCAGAAAATCTCATCTTTATACTCTGTCTTTATACTCTGTGTTTAATGATCAGCTCAGAGAAGAGAGGAGTATAGAATCATCTCTCACACCACAGTAATAGATTCCATACATACTTAAATCGAATGAAGCTCGAGATACAGAATTCAATATGCAGTCATTATTATTCCTGTGTGGAAATAATATCAAATTATCATCAGCATAATAGTCACATAATCATTATAAGATGCAAAAAGCATAAGAGAGAATGTGTTGAATCCTTTTCTTACAATGTAAGCAGTAAAAACTGGAACCGGGCAAAAGTGGATTTGAAGTATTTTTGAGGTTTGAACTGATATAAAATATTATGTTTGTTCATTTAAACAAAACTTTTTTTTAAAGTATTAGAATGAGAATTTATTTTATAAATGTAGTATTTGTTTAACCTAAATTTTTGCCTTGCAATGTTTTATTCATCATATTTATTTGAGCTGAAAAAACAGTTAAATTGCCTGTTACTGTATTTACAGTGTAGTACAATATTAGTAAGTATTTATGTTTTACTACCGATTATTTTATTTTATTATTTTACTATATTAAAGGGATGATCAAATCAAATACTATAAACAGTTATGAGTGTCTGCTTGATTTTTAACGCCAACACTGAAAATAAAAGTCTGTTATACAAATTAGTTACAGTGAAACAACACTTTCCTGTTTCTGATTTGATGAACTGAACATTCACTTCTGATCAGAACATCTTTCAGTTCTTTACCCTCAAAATGATCTACAGTGAAAATGAACAGCCCTTTAATTTAAGACCTTCAATCCAAAACAATAATTTCCTTAAATTATAATTAAAAAAGGAAGCTTTTGGTAAAAAATGAATAATTTCTCTTAAATTCTGTTAACTGATGAGCTGTATCACATCAGACACAAAATGTTTTCATGAAGATAAAAAAGTTGGATTAAGAGATCAAAGTAAGATCATAATCATTTTGATGGAATAATTTAATGAGATGAGATGTGTCAGTAAATGTTTCTAAGGTTGGAAAAAGTCAAAAAGCGTTAACAATGTCTAATTTGTAATTTGTTTATATAAATTAGGGGGTGTTTAAAACACTTTATCTCATTTATGCTCCATAAAACATTTTGACTTGTGATCGATGATAAAATCATTTCTTGCGTCTGAAGAGGTTTGAATGCAGTTTCCTGAGGAAAGACACTGGCTGTGGTCTCTCAGTCACATGATTCATCTCTGTCTGAGGCTCCTCCTCCACGTCATCATAATCTGGAAAATAAGTACATTTAACTCAAATAATACATCTTTATTTTATAGAACAGTAAATAGAGCACTGTGTAGGTTCTGTTTAGTACTACAGGCTGCAGCTCAGCTCATTAAACTCAACCTGAAATCAAAAAGGACCTTTTTCACCTTGTTGGTTCACGTTTCTGGTTATATTAGGCACAATTCATCATATCGTTTAAAAGGCAAAATTCTTGTTTTTCTGTAATTTTCCTTCAAAATGTAATGACTTTTGCTCACATCTTTTTTCTCAGATTCTGATTTTTGATTTCATCACTGTGCACCAGTGGAAAACTAATATAATATTTACAGATAATATCATGTTTCACCTCCCCCTCCAAGCACCCCCACCTATCATCGAGAGAAAACGTTGAGCTAACTCAGATATATAATGTGTTTCACTTATGTAATTATAACGTAATTATATGGTTAAAAATATGTGTCATGTTTTCTGATTCACATTGACAGTAAGTCCCAGCGAATAAAGTGTAAAAATATTAAAAATGCTGTTTTTTTACAGAGAGACAGCTTTATAGAGGTGCTATGTTGCTAGTTTTCTTATTGTTTGCAAGAGTAGTTTCCGTTTGCTAAGTTGCTCAATAAAAGTGAGACAAAGTAAAAAATCACTTTGATTGTAAGAATTGTTCATTCATAGTATTCATTTAGGTTAAACAAAACTAGTTAATTTACCTTTTACCACATGGAGTATTTTTTGGTTGAACTGATGAGCAATTTTTTACATTTTTTAAAGTTGTGTTTAGGCTGTGTGGGCAGCACAAGTGACATCACTCTTGTGATTGTTCATGCAAGATTGTCATGTCTTCCAACAGAATTAAACAGAAAAAGAAATTCAGACAAAATACACCAGTTACTGTACATTTGAAAGTTACCAATGAGGCATATTTTATACATGTGTAGATGTAGAGAGGATTGATTACTTTTCAGTTTTGCCAAAATTACAGTGCTGCACTAATGCTATTCAGTGTTACAGAATGATCCACAAAACTCTGCTGAAGAATTATTCAAGTGCACACTTCTTAGTCAGTGACACAAATTGTACTCAGTGCAGGTGAATAAAATCAATTAGTCTTTTGAACTGAATACATAAATACATACGGCTGCACTTCATGTGTGAATGGGCAGTGCAGTAAAAAGAGTGGCCTTCTGCCCAACATCAAAGCAATGAGGACAGTTTATTTATCATGTGCCATAAATAATGTAAACATGTTTTAGCAGATTTCCTGTACACTTGATTTAAATCTCTCACTCCACCCTCCTGATTCATGTACATCTGCAATATAACGACATAAACAACAAGATCAGCCACTCACCTTTTAGCCCTCCTACATCCTGTTCAGCACTATGAAATCATCATAGTTCTCTGGGGTGTCCACTACACAAACATGGGAAAATAAATTGTATCAATAAGAAGTAAACTTGACATGTTTACTGTGTTAAAACTTTTTAAAACATTTTTTTGTCCACATTAAGAAAAAACATACTCATCATAATGTTGGAGTTTGGTCCAGCAGTAACAGCATCATCATAGTTATCTGTCATGTCTTCTGTCAAAATGTAGAGATAAATGTCATTAAATCAGCATCAGTATCATCAGTGACTGTTTTCATGTTTGAGATTACAGTGTTGTTACATTACAAGTCAAACCTGTTACAACAGCTGAGCTCTGATCAGCAGTGATGACATCATCATAATTCTCTGCTACGTCCTCTACACCAAAGCACAGAGACGTTTAAAGGATATAGAAAGATATAAATATTAGATTTGTCAGGTGTTTCAGGTGTATTTTACTGAATGTGGTGTTTGTATGAGTCTACTTTGATATTGACTGAGTTCATAATTTGATCTCCATTTGAGTTTTATTTACACAATAATCAGTATTTTCACCAAAGAGCAAAAACATTGTGACCACTCAAGTGAATAATGTTGATTATAACAGTGCATGTCAAGGTCTGGTAGATCTTAGACAGCAAACAAACAGGCGGTTCTCATAGTCGTCATGTTGGATGCAGGAGAAATGGGCAGACATGAAGACCTGACTGACTTTGACAGGAGCCAAATTGTTCTGGTCAGAAGACTGGGTCTGAGCATCTCTGAAACAGTAAGGCTTGTGGGGTGATCCCAGTCAGCAGTAGTGAGTACCTGTTGACAGTGGTCAGAGGGACAAACCAGGCACCAGCAACAGGGTGTTTGGACTCATTGATGCACCAAACTACACCCAGTGTTCAAGAATGATTTGAGGAACATGATGAAGAGCTCAAGGTGTTGTCCTGGCCTCCAAATTCCCCAGATCTCAATCTGATCAAAACACCTATGGGATGTGCCAGACAAGTCCAAGGATCTGCTGCTAACGTTTTTGGTGTCAGATACCACTGGTCACCTTCAGAGGTTTTGTACAGTCCATGTAAAATTATTTATTTTATGAAATGTAATAAACATTAATGAATCAAATATTTGTTTATTCTATTTTTACATAATTTATTCTGAACTTTCATATCTCTACTTAATTCAAACTTCTTTCTAAACTAAAACTCCAAATTATAAACACACCTGCTACACTATCAGAGATCTGTCCAGCAGTGATGACATCATCATAGTTCTCTGCTGTGTCCTCTTTTGCTGACTCACCTAAATCAAATAAAAACAGTCTGACTTTACAAATAGTTCAATTACATTTTTACATTGTGATTTGATGTTTAAAGATAAAATCAGGTGATTAATCAATAAAGAAACTCACCTCTCAGGCCACTGGTGGTGACATCATCATAATATTCGGCCTTTACGCCAGTCAGAGACTTTGCTGCAAAAAGAAAAATAAATGTATTACTTTTAATTATATTTTTTAAAGATCATTCAGAGCGTTTTTATGTGACACTTTCAAAACCCTTAAAGTCTTTTGTGAGCTACGGTGTGACTCCATTAAGATTACGCAGGAAATTGTAAATTACAGAAAAAGCAAATCGTTAATCAGATATACAAATAACTGACACTTCAATTAAATAATAACACTGAAATAATACGTAGAAATAAAAGTATCCAGAAAACAACTTGAATAGACGTTTAAATAAACCAGGTCAAAAAAGTACTTTAGTTCTAAGTAACTGGTAGAACTGCAGTGACATTTCTTAATACATTCAGTATCTATCAGCATAGGAACTGTAGTTTGTGATCTTTCTCTTCTTTGGCATCTTTTTGGTCTAAAATAAAATGGCAGACCTCAATAGTCAGAGGAATGACCAATCACAAAGCAGTATAGATGATGTTCCCAAAAAAACACAAACACATAAAAATGATTTAGTAACTAAATGTTAAAGACTAAAATGTAAGAATGTAAAAGTAAAAGGGAGATTTCTTTATATTTAAAATATTTCTTTTTTTTTAAATATTGTGAGCAGAAGTAAAACATATCATTTGAAAAACTCAGGAAAGTACAAATCCATCATCATTTTACTCAGTACATGTGACTTCATTAATGTAATTAGTTGCTACCCACCTCAGGGGCCGTGTTTACTCTAGACTTGAGTGTTCTTGGAATAAAATAAAATTGCATTAACAAATTCTCTTATTTCTAAATGGTTAATACTTCTCAGTGGAATAGAGTTTAACACACACATGTTCTGGTCCTCTTACCTGAGAGAAGCTTCTCATCCACATCCTCATATCCTAAACGAGTAGAGCAGAACAGTCATCAAACACACTCAGAATGTTCTCTCCCATTCTCTCTCTCTCTCTCTCTCTCCCTCTCTCCCACACACACACACACACACTCTCACATACATACATGCAAACAACAGACTTATTACTTTTAATTACATTTGAAACATTTAATTACATTTTGCTTCACTGTATGATTCCATTAAGATTATAGATGGAATCATTTCTGACAGACACTTCAATCTACAGATGAATCACATTCAATCAGAGAAACAAACTAGACTAAAAACACCCTTTAAGAGCAACAAGCAGCAAATACTACTAGAGTCAGATTATATCATCATATTTCAGCCACAATATGATTCTACTGTGATATTTAAAGATTTTGATATGATATATTGTATTACTTTTCACTGCAAATGATTCCTTCAAATGAAGACTCCTTGTATTATAGTGAGGTTTAGACTTCAAGTTCTTGCTTTAAGTCTCCTGAGTGTGGGGCCAGTGTGTTGTCCACCAATCTATTTGACCATTTCTATGGGTAGAAAATACTTAAAAGGGCTTTCTGACCTAAAACTAGTGTTTAATATGTTTCTTATCATGTTATTCTGTAGTGGAACACTGCACACATCACCCTCATCAGAATTCATGATTTTGTGTGCTTTTTGTATTTTTATCCATGAAAATTCTCTCACTACAGTACCCAGCATAAACTACAGATATACATCATACAACCACTGGAAATTCTGCCCACTGGAATAAAGAAATCCAGTGATGTAGACACCAATACATACAGACATGGTATTCAGTGTCCAAGCAGTGATATTATATATCTGGCTTTCTTCTGCATTTGTCTGCTTATGGGAAAAAACATCTCATTCCCAGAAAAAAGCAGATTTCAAGTTCCTCCCACCTATGTCATCAGAAGAAAGATTTCCTGATCTTTTAATCATAAAATCTCTCTTGAGACAATTGTGATATCACTTTAGGAGGGGAGTAGGCAAAGGTTACATTTTCATTTTGGCTGGACTGTCTCTTTATGACAAGACAGACCAGTTTATGTGAAATAGATTGTGATCAGCGTTACTCACGACATTATTTACTTCAGTGTAACAATAATGAAAATCATGCTCTGACTCTCACTTTTCTGTTAAAACAGTTACTTTTTACTTTAAATATAGCTACTTTTTACTGTCACTCAAGTATATTTTTGGCTCCCAACTTCCACTTTCAATTAAATAAGATTTTGACAATACTCATACTTTCACTTAAGTACCTTACAAATACTTTTTGTACCCCTGACCAATTATTATTATTTTTTTGTAATCCTAACAATGGACTTAACGCACATAAAATAATAACAATAATTAAATAGTAAAAACTTGAAATATCACAATATCCACTCCTAGAAGAAAGACAAATAGCACACAAATGGGCTAGCAACTAAGGGGAGTAAATGTATGTTCAGAATATCAAATACTGGATTTAATGTAAACCAGAGGCCAACCAATAAATCAGCATGCCGATATTATCGGCTGATATGAGCTAGTTGCGGATAAATCTGTATCTGCATACATAACTGATGAATGTCAAGTAAAAAAGGACCCGAGAGCTGGGAGACTGATCCTTATAACCATGTTATGAGTGTTGTTGTTGCATAGTGGGTCCATCAGAGGACGCTCTGCAACTTCCCCGTTAACGCCAGAAATCACAGCAATCAGCTGACCCAAGCAGAGTTCAGCAGAGGACTCCATGAAAGAGGTTATAAGCATTCATAATAAGTTGATATTCGTCCCGTGAAATTCATTACTTAATTAATGATAAAAATATCTGCATCACTTCTTCTCCTTGACTGTAGATTCATTCATGAAACAGTGTGGCTGTTCTGTCGAGTTAACAAATAACAGTCCTATCTTTTCTCCCTAGCTCATCACTTATAAAAATTCTCTGGCAACATCACTTACAGCAGCTTATAACGCTGTTTACTGCTAAATTTGTTTACCCAGAAAGCTAACTAATTCTGTGTTTGACAGTGGAAAACAACTAACGTTAATGAGCGGCTAAACTATTAACTTATGCCTAAATGACGAAACTAAAGTCAGCTTCTTACTTGCCAGCTACTTGTTTAAATTTCCCATTCCACCTTAAATAGTGCAGCGGTTACTGCAGTAGCCTCAGGTGCCAGAATGTAACTCCCGCATCATTTATGGTGGAATGGGAAAATTCAAACAAGAAGTTGACGAATAGGAAGCCAACTTCAGCCTTGTGCCTAAATAAAGCAATGATTTATATATCTCCGACTCGCATGTCTGTGGTTATTGTAGTCACTGGAGGTTATTAAATCAGAGGGGACACGTAAATAAATGTGAGCTGAATGAGTATCCAACATGGCTTGGTAGCCAAACAAATTTATCTAGCTTCTCTTTCAAATGAGTAGTGTGTTGTGGCACTATTTTGTTAGAGTGCATTGATATGTTGCGAGACGTTATTCAATTCTAAAAAAGAGCTACAGTAGAGTTATGAGTAACTCACCATGTTCAGCTGCTCCTGCATGTAATCAGGTTAATCACTAAGTTCTTTAAATGATAATACAATCAATGTTTATTTGTGTTCATCACACTACAATGTGAAATCCTGAAGACTGGCTCTCAGAATTTTAAATCCTCAAATATTAAAGTCTTAAAAATCTTATATCAGTCAGGCTCTAATGTAAACATATTTTGCATGATGACTGCAATATTTCTCAGTTGAATGACATTTAACACGTGTTACCTGAGAGAAGCTCCACATCCACATCCTCATATCCTGAATGCTGCTCTTCAGAGAAGATACTTCCTGTTAGAGAAGAGCAGAACAGTCATCAAAGTGCTGTGGATCATTGTAAACTGGGTTAATTACAGGAAATAATATCAGTGCAGCCAGTAGAGGAGTAGAGGGCGCTCTCAGACACTTACTGACTGATTCACTTGGTCACTGTCTGTCATTCATTCAGTCACTCAATGACTCACTCAATCAAAATTCACTAACTCACTTAGTCACAAGCTCAGGTCCTCATTTGGTCACTAACACACTAGTCACTCTTATGGTCTTGTGGTCACTCACTTGGCATCTTATTCTGCCACTTAGACACTCAGTCATATACTCATTCAGTCACTCACTCTGTCACTCACTCAGTCACTTTATCACTCATTCAGTTACTCCACTCACTTGGCCACTATCTCACTCACTCACTAACTCAGTCCCTCACTAATTCGATCTCTTGGTCACTTGTTAGGTCACTTAACTGCTCACTCAGACAATTACTCGGCCACTCGTTTTCACTTGGTCCATAAGACACTTTGAGAGTTGGTCACAAACATGGTCACTCAGTCAATCACTCGGTCAATCGCTTATTCAGCTGCCTAATAGATGCTTATCAGCAAAACTAGCACACTATACAACATGTACACCAAACCGCACATTTCCTCTAATATACACTTAACTCTCATCTAAGTGATCTTCTCTTATTACTAATACACTGAGAATGCTGTAGAAATTATTCATTTGAGACAATGAAACATTGTTTTGATCTCTGAGCAAATCAGCATGCATTATGATGTGTGTTCTGTGATCTCTTATGTAAATACACTTAAATCCAATAATCCTCATGCATAACAGTCCATATATCACTCACCCCTTTGACCTGAGTCATTTCTTTTAGTGATGGATCTGCGGTTGATCTCCTCATAGACTGCCTCAGTCAGAGTCTTACGCCTCCTCTTAGAGAGCACTGTGAGGGAGACAGAGAGAAACATGGAGCCAGTTCAGTAGAAGAGAAGACTGATGACAGATTGAAGGACTAATGATGTTTAGAGAATGTACAGAAAGTGGATTGTAGATGATCTCTGAATCTCTCTACCTCTCCTGAGCACTCTGTTCTGGTAAAACAGCACAACCAGAAGCACTAAGGCCAGGAAGAGCACCGCTCCCAGAACCAGGAGAGACACTGGATAGATGGACGGAACAGCTGGTGGAAGATCTTGTAGAGGAGTGTTTGTTCCCTTCACTGTCTGACCAACTGCAAATAAAAATATAAAATAGAAACTCTGCAGATCACTATTCAGAAACAATTAGAAAAATGACCAAAGAGAGAAAAAAGTACCTGTGATGGTGGAGGTGGTGGTTGTGATTATGGGTACAGTAGTAGAAGGAACATACATGTCTGTAAAGTCAGAAAAAGCAGTTCTGGTTCTGATTTTTTTTTTTTTACAATTTAAGCACTGAATATGTCAAATTAGCGTGACATTATTTTAACAAAAGTGTGTCATTGCACTGTTTAATGAAGGCTTCCAGATTTCTAATACTTTGATACCTGCACAGGTGACTCCAGCGTCCTGCCTGTGGGAGCAGTCAGTGTGGTTCTTCAGGGAATGAGGACAGTCCCACAGGTGAATCTCATTCCCTCTACACTTCACTCTGTTCAGCCAGATAGGCCCTACACCAGCTCCAAAGACAGCACTCCCATCAGCACTCAGCGCCGGCCCACAGCCCAGCTGCCTGCAGACCACCTGAGCATCCCTGATGTCCCACAGATCATCACAGATGGACCCCCACTTAGCATTATGATACACCTCCAGCCTCCCAGAGCAGATTCCCTTTCCTCCCCTCAGCCTGAGAGGCAGGTGATCTACATCACACACATCGCACATGAGGAGATACAGAAACACTGATGAACCAGTATAATTATAGAATTAATAATAATACAGCTATAAAGTGTGATATAGGTTTTCACTGTATGTACAACATGATGATTTAAAGACCAAAAGGATTTGTATAAAGGGACAACATTAGTAACATATGGAATTAATACACTGGATAATGAAATATTGAACTTATTTGATGAGTTCTTACTTGAGCACTGTCTGTGATGAGGAGATGAGGAGCATTTCAGACGACTTCGTACCACATGATCATTTTCATCTTCTGTGAGTAGAGTAAGATACTGAACATTTAGTTTGCCTCTATATTTTTATTATATATTTTATATTTCAATTTGTATATTTAATTTATTTAAGTTTTATACTTCGTGTGATCTATTGTCAACACACAAATTTATACACAGTCTACTCATATGAACATGAAAAATTGCCTACCTGAGCAGGTAATGTGAGCCACCTCATTGTCTTTATCACAGTTGTTCTCTCTCCAGGGTGAAGATGGACAATGCCACAGAGTGGAGTCATGTTTCCTACATTTCAGATTGTCTAGCCAGTTAAGCACTGATTTCACTCTTGCTTTGGCCCAAGACTCACTGCCAGATCTTCCACAGTTCAGTTCTTGACAGATTAAACTTGCTGTTTCTTCATTCATCCCATTTAAACACACATTACCCCAGGTTCCATTGTAGGACACTTCCAGATTCCCCTCACAGCCCTCAGTGAGTCTGATCTCTTTAAACTCTGGTGGGAGAAGAACTTATACTAAACTTTGCTTTTGAATCAGTATGTTTTAGGAAGTTCTAGGAATTGTTCATGCATTTCAAAATGAAATATCTAGCATCTCCTCAAAAAAATAATTCAGCCCCTCTGCTTCTACAAACATTCCTTAAAGGGACGCTTCAGTGCAAATTCAATTCTACGCAATTTTATCCCAAATTGTCACGAATGTCACGAGCGAAGCGGAAGAGACGGACTCTTATCTCTCAGAATCCTCTGGGAGATCACATGACTTTGACGCTTCCTACAAACCCCAATACACACACGGACTCCATCTCCCAGAATACACAGGGAGATCAGCTGACTTCTGATCTCCCCACACGCTCCTATCAGCGTTCTCGATCGCCCGAATTCTGATGTGTTACACCTGTGTGTTTTGATCATGTGACTTCCTCAGTTTAGCTTATAAACCCAGGCTTTAGCGTTAGTTATTTGCAAGGTTTTGTTTCATTTTTGCAAACTACTGAGCGTTCTATCTGTGATCCTGATTTTGTGCATGACCTGTATTACCCGTTCTTTTCGACTCTGTTTTTTGGATTTGCCCTTTGGATTGATTGCCCTGGATATCTGTTATGTGTTTTGACCTTTTTGCCTGTTTTTTGACCACGACTTTGGATTCTGACTCCAACATTAAAGCTTACTTCTCTTTGTTTATCCGCGAGCGTCTGAATTCTGCGATACCGTTACACAAACATATTCGATCAGCCTAACTATGTTTGATGTTTAATATCTGAAGTCTGCTTTACACTGTGTGATTAGTGATCATGCTTGTTTAATTGGTTTCACACTGCACTAGTTGCTGCAAATAAAATATTGGCTAAACTTCATGTCAGACTGTGTGAATTCAGTTATACTGCACATCTGATTATACATTAAAGATTTTCTGACAAACGACTTACAACGCAAGAAAATGACAACATTCTGTCTGCACTTCCTTTTTCTTGCAGAAAAACAGCCATGCAAGCAAATACATCCTTAGTATAGTAGTGGTGATGCATTTTGCGGGGAAAAAATTCACAAATCAAATGTCTATGATGGAGAGGTTGGAGCTGTTTATGGCTAGGGAAGGGGCTACATGGAATGCTCATTCTCCAAAGTGAACTTGAGGTCAGTAGCTAATTTTTCTGTTGAATATGGAGTAGTTCTGCTATTTCACTGAAGGCCAATCTATATGTGATCTGAGGCCTAATCGTAAATCGTTTGCTGTGTGCTATCACATTAAACATTCAAAGACCTCTGATTTTAACTCATGTTCTATGAATTCTTTCACAATTTGAATTTTTTGGTCTGTCACAGCATCATCATGATGGTAATTGCACAGTGTAAACCTGCCTTAAGTTTGAAGTGTTGCACTGGAACTATGAGACTAATGTAACCAGGTCCATGCACAGACAATTTTGGAGCTCAAATGGAAAGAAAAGTTCAAACTAAACATGAGTTAAACTTAACTTAATTATCAGTACACTGAAGAAAATAATATTCAGAGAAACAGTCCAATCACGATTTAAAGGAATGAAAATGTACAGTTTTTAGGGGTAGCCAAAAATATCAGCAATACTGCCCAAGCAGAGATTTGATCCCTGCTCGCCATCATACAAGGCTGTATTGTTACTCATTAATTACACTACCTATAAACCAGTTATAACTTTGTTTAAAAGCTGCTCAGCTTTTAAGTCCTAAAATGCGGACTTACTTTGCTCTGCTTTAAGCTTCGGCTACGGCCGCTTTTCTTCCATCTCCACCAGAAAACCTTTCCTCAAAAATTGAACAGTTTCTTGTAAAATGTCTCTCAGCGTTTTTGTTGAACTTTCCCATTCCAACTTAAATTCTGACTGAGGCGCCGAATGTAAATGCGGCACCATTTAAGGTGGAACGAGAAAATTAGAAAGAGAGGCGACTTTATCTTCGCTACTTTTTAGTGTTTGACAGTCTCTCGTTGCAGATTTAACGTACCAGCAAACTGCCCTGCTTGTAAATGCGAATAAGTCCATTCATCTCCAAATGTTCGTCTGTCTTTCTCTTTTCCTTTTTATCACGAGACCAAAACCGAAGTTATAAAATCACTAGGACGGCTGTAACGTGCTACATGCACATCCATTACCACTAGATCTTATGTCACCATAACTGCGCATTTTATCACAGATGAGTGGCAGCACCGTCTCCAAACGAGCGGTGAATGAGAGCCTTCTAGTTCACTTGCTACATCACTTCCATTTGTTTTATTAATAAAAGATATTGGACGTAAATGCATTATGGATCATCACAAATACTTTGCTTTAAAATTACCAAGTCCTCACACAGTGAGAAAATAGAAATCATGTATAGAAAAAAAAGATGCATCAAGATGCATCGATAATCGTTTTATAATTGCCCTCTGAATCGTAATCGAATCGAATCGTGAGGTGCCCAGAGATTCCCACCTATATACATTATTATATATATTGTCTACAGAGTAACACGTAACAAACTGTAACCTTGTTAAGTAATTAACAAGGTTAATTACTTTGTTAATTCTCTTTGTTAGTTCCTTGCTATTCCTTTGTTGCTCTAGCACTGTGAATTTCCCCATTGTGGGATTAATAAAGGATTATCTCAATTTATCTTATGTCATCTCACTTAATCTAACCCATTAATTTAAATTAGGCTATTTTGTTATTTCATTATTACTATTTTTCATTTCTCTCACATCTTCCACAGTGGAACCGCATTTGAGAGCCACTGATGTAAAAGATCCCAATTACTGCCACTCAAAATGTTTGGAAAATAAATCCAATATTAGGGAGATGATGATATAACATATATTCGTTCATGGAAGTGATGATTAACTGCAGCTTACCTGAGCAGATGACTCCAGCATCTAACCCATGATGACAGAAATGTTTACCCCATCCCTGTGATTTACAGTTCTTCACTGTAGACTCTGATCCACTACAGCTGACATAATTTATCCAGATTGGTCCTGATCCTGGTCCAAAGTGAGCTTTACTAAGTGCAGCTACAGCCTCTCCACAGCCCAGCTCTCTACACACCACTGCAGCATCTCTCATATCCCAGTTATATTCACACACTGTTCCCCACTGTCCTCTATGAAGAACCTCCACTCTCCCAGCACAGCGACTGCCACCATCCACCAACCTCACACTGTCTATACAACAAAGAGAGAGAGAGAGAGAGAGAGAGAGAGAGAGAGAGAGAGAGAGAGAGAGAGAGAGAGAGAGAGAGAGAGAGAGACACTCAGCTTCAAAACACAGATAAAAAGGAACAAACACTTATTTTGGTGCTGGGACAAATGATTGGTGTTTGAGAAGTAAGAATCAAAGACATATTTAATAAGAAATTAGTCTTACTTGCATTAATGCTTTAAGTCTTACTTGCATTACTTAAGAAATCAAAGGAAACTGATTTCATTGTTTGTATAATTATATCACAGGATTGGGGGGTATTTTAAACATGACATAGACATTTAGTAAATTAAATAAGATTATTTAAGCTTAATTAATGTTGCTGTTCCTCTTACCAGCACACACCACACCCACATCATTGTCATGGGTGCAGTTGTGTTTGAGTGAAGATGATGTTGGACAGAAGTGAATCTGAGATTCGTTGCCTCTACACTGAAGCTCCTCTGACAACACCTGACCCTCCCCTCTGCCAAAAACAGCTGCTCCCAGCACCTCCACAGGAAGCCCACAGCCCAGCTCTCGACACATAACCTCTGCATCCTGCTGGTCAAAATCAGCATCACACACTGTGGACCAGGTCTCTCCATGAAGCACCTCTACTCTCCCAGAGCAGTGAGAACTACCAACCAGCCTGACTCCTAATCAGAGATGGGAGGGTTACTTCAAAAATGTATTCCATTCCAGATCTGATTGCTTGATAAGAAATGTAACCTAATCCAAAGGATTATTATTTTAATGTAATCAGATTACTTTTTGTTACTTTTGAATTACCTGTATTTTATTTAAGATGTATAATTAAATAAACAAAGAAGAACAAAAATAACAAGAATTTAAATTAACACACACAAAACACACTGTTTTATGAAACAGAATAATAGATTATAGGTGACTTAAAAATTTTGCCTCACAAAAACAGTGACAGATCTCACATTTAGTGAAACGGCCAAATCTAAGAAGAGTAACGGAAATAATTCAAACAAAAAAGAGGACAAATTTTTGTAACATTAAAATTTGTTTGAGTTTAGACATTTATACTTAAGCCTTGAAGTTCAGCATTCAAGCTTTTCTTTTTCTAAAAATATTTTAAAAATTACAATAAATAAATAAATAAATAAAAATAAATGAAAAAAATGGTACACTGAGACTAAAAGCACTTAGACTAAAACACAGGGGAACAAGCAATCAATGTAGCCAATGCACTAAGTTAAAAACTCTCCTTAGACTTTTACTTATTTTCCTTATTTGTTGTTGTAAATCTGTTTTTTTTTTCATATCAGAATCAAAAGATCAATTTTACTTTAAGATCTCTCATTAACAATAATTATAAATAGAGCCCATTCAGAAACCCAGACGCACAGGATGAGTAGTTGTTCAACTCGGCAAAGAAAAGAAAAAAAGGAAAAACACACAGAGAGTCAGTTCTGTAATGGGTGACTGATCACAGATTACAGTGTTAGCAGAGACTGGCAGGTATAGAACTGACAGGGAAAACTAATTACCAAAGGCTTGACTATTCAAGTAAGGTTTTAGCCTAGACTTAAACACTGAGGCTGTGTCTGAGTCCCGAACATTAACAGGGAGATTATTCCAAAGCCGGGGGGCTTTGTATGAGAAGGCTCTCCCCCCTGACGTAACTTTATTAATTCTAGGTACTAATAGTAAGCCAGCACCTTGTGATCTAAGTAGGTGTGATGGTTCATAATGGGAGAGAAGTTCACTCAGGTATTGAGGGGCGAGTCCGTTTACAGCTTTATAAGTCAGTAAGAGAATTTTATAATCAATGCGAAATTTAACTGGTAACCCGTGTAGGTTTGATAAAACTAGGCTGATATGGTCAAACTTTCTGGTTCTTGTAAGGACTCTGGCTGCAGCATTCTGGACTAGCTGAAGCTTGTTAAGGCTTTTGCTGGGACATCCAGCCAGCAGGGCATTACAGTAATCTAGCCTTGAAGTAATAAATGCATGAACTAACTTTTCTGCTTCCTGTAGAGATAATGCATTTCTCAATTTAGCAATATTGTGGAGAT